CTCCGGGGGGGGGGAGGGGTGGGGATGGGGGGGTCCCACGACCCCCCGGGGGGGGTCCCAGCCCCCACCTCCCCCCTTGGGGGGGTCCCGGCCCCCCCCCTCAGGCGCTGTCCTTGCTCTTGGTGCTGCTCAGGGGGACGGCGACGTCCTCGTCCCGCAGGCGCCCGGCCCTGGGAGAGACCCGAAACCTCTGACTCTGGCCCCAAAAACTCCATCCCCAAAACCTCCAACTCCGTCCCCAAAACCTCTGACTTTGTCCCCAAAACCTCTGACTTTGTTCCCAAAACCTCCATCCCCAAAACCTCCAACTCCATCCCCAAAACCTCCAACTCCATCCCCAAAACCTCCAACTCTGTCCCCAAAACCTCTGACTTCGTTCCCAAAACCTCCATCCCCGAAACCTCCGACTCCATCCCCAAAACCTCCATCCCCAAAACTTCCGACTTTGTCCCCAAAACGTTGGACCTTTCCTAACCCCCAAAACCTTCATCCCAAAACCTTCATCCCTTTCCAACCCCAAAACCCTCATCCCAACCCCAAAACCTTCATCCCCATCCAACCCCAAAACCTTCATCCCTTTCCAACCCCAAAACCTTTCTTCCAACCCCAAAACCTCCCGGGTGCCCCCTGGGAAGGTTTGGGGAGCAGGGGGGGGCTCTTGGGGGTCCTTGGGGTTTCCCTGGATGTCCCTGGGGGTCCCTGGGGGTCCCTGGGGTGTCCTGGATGTTCCTGGATGTCCCTGGGGTTCCTCACCGCTTCTCAACGTCTCGGACAGTCTCGGGCAGGGGGACGTTTCGTGTCTCGGGCAGGAAGGCCGTGGCCACGGCCGACACGACGGGGGCGGCCCCGTAGATGACGAGGGGCAGGGCGGGGGTCACGTCGGCCGCCATTCGCACCAGGGGGGCCACCATCCCCCCCACGCGGGCCATGGTGCCCCCCAGGCCCATCCCCGTCTGCCTGCGCCAAGACACGGACGGGGGGTCAGGGAGGGAGGGGGGGAGGGGAGGGGTTGGGGGTGGATGGAGACGGGGGTGGGGGTGGGGGGGTTGGTGGTGGTTGGGCTGTTGGGTCGTTGGGTTGATGGGCTGGTGTTGGTTGGGTTGTTTGGTTGTTGGGTTGATGGTGATTGGGTTGATGGGTTGGTGTTGTTTGGGTGGTTGGTGGTTGGGTTGTTGGTGGTTGGGTTGATGGTGTTTGGGCTGTTGGTTGGGTTGACGGGTTGGTGTTGTTTGGGTTGTTGGTTGGGTTG